CTAACTCTCCATTTAATAACTCTCCTCACCTATTTTTAACTGTCAAATCCATTTGTTCCCTAGGCTTCGTCAACTTATTAATCTCACTCCAATTTTTTTTATTTTCAACAAAATTTGTTGATAACATCTCACCCACTCTCTCATTTGCTCTCTTTTTACATTGCTTCACTACTCGCTTAACCTCTCTTATTCTTTCCATATACTCTTCCCTCCTTGAATCACTTCTACTTTGTAAAAACTTCTCATATGCTAACTTTTTCTCCCTTACTACTCTCTTTACATCATCATTCCACCAATCGCTCCTCTTCCCTCCCACACCCACTTTCCTGTAACCACAAACTTCTGCTGAACACTCTAACACTACATTCTTAAACCTTCCCCATCCATCTTGTACCCCATTGCCTATACTCTCGCTAGCCCATTTATCCTCCAGCAGTTGTTTACATCTTACCCTAACTGCCTCCTCTTTCAGTTTATACACCTTCACCTCTCTCACACTTGCTGCTTCTATTCTCCTTGTATCCCATCTACCTTTTACTCTCAGTGTAGCTACAACTAAAAAGTGATCTGATATATCTGTGGCCCCTCTATAAACATGTACATCCTGAAGTCTACTCAACAGTCTTATATCTATCAATCATAGACCAACAAACTACTGTCATTTCGCCCTACACCATATCTTGTATACTTATTTATCCTCTTTCTTGAAATACGTATTACTTATAACTAAACCACCTTTCTATGCAAAGTTCAAAGGCCCCCATTATCTTTTACATATATATATATATATATATATATATATATATATATATATATATATATATATATATATATATATATATATATATATATATATATATATATATATATATATCTGCGTGTGTGTGTGTGTGTGTGTGTCGTGCCGAATAGGTAAAACTAGTCAGTAAGAATTCATTTAAAATTAAATCCTTTCCAAAATTTTCTCTTATACATTTAAAGATATATTTTCTAATTTATGCTAATGTAGTAATTAATAATATTGTGCCCAAAGAACCTTAGAAAACTTACCTAACCTTATTATAACTAGCGCAATTTAATTTAGCCTAATCCAACTAAATATATTTTAGATAAGTTTACAAAATTTTAATATTAAAAAATATAATGAAATATATTTTATCGTTAGGATCACAATGATTTTTGCGAAATTATTGCATACACAAATTTTTGCTTACCTCATTCGGCAAGAAGAGCGCTGCTACTTACGCCAAAATCGCAAGTTTTGCCTATTCGGCACAATATATATATATATATATATATATATATATATATATATATATATATATATATATATATATATATGTGTGTGTGTGTGTGTGTGTGTGTGTGTGTGTGTGTGTGTGTGTGTGTGTGTGTGTGTGTGTGTGTGTGTGTGTGTGTGTGTTTGTAAGTATAAGAGGGATGATTGGTGGAATGATGAAGTAAAGGGTGTGATAAGAGAAAAAGGTAGCTTATGAGAGGTATTCACAAAGCAGGCGTGTTAAAGAAGAGTAGAGTATATGGAGAGTAAAAGAAAGGTGAAGAGAGTGGTGAGAGAGTGCAAAAGGAGAGCAGATAATGGAGTGGAAGAGGCACTCTCAAGAAATTTTAATGAAAATAAGAAAAAAAATTTGGAGTGAGTTAAACAAGTTAAGAAAGCCTAGGGAACGAATGGATTTGTCAGCTAAAAACAGAGTAAGTGATTTAGTAGATTGGGTGATGGAGGTATTGGGTAGATGGCAGGAATATTTTGAGGAACTTTTAAATGTCGACGAAGAAAGGGAAGCGGTAATATCATGCACTGGCCAGGGAGGTATACCATCTTTTAGGAGTGAAGAAGAACAGGATGTGAGTGTGGGGAAGGTGCGTGAGGCATTACGTAGAATGAAAGGGGGTAAAGCAGCTGGAACTGACGGGATCATGACAAAAATGTTAAAAGCAGGGGGGGACATAGTGTTGGAGTGGTTGGTATTTTTGTTTAATAAATGTATGAAAGAGGGGAAAGTATCTAGGGATTGGCGGAGAGCGTGAATAGTCCCTTTATATAAAGGGAAGGAGGACAAAAGAGATTGTAAAAATTATAGAGGAATAAGTTTACCGAGTATACCAGGAAAAGTGTACGGTAGGGTTATTATTGAAAGAATTAGAGGTAAGACAGAATGTAGGATTGCGGATGAGCAGGGAGGCTTCAGAGTGGGTAGGGGATGTGTAGATCAAGTGTTTACATTGAAGCATGTATGTGAGCAGTATTTAGATAAACGTAGGGAAGTTTTTATTGCATTTATGGATTTAGAAAAGGCATATGATAGAGTGGATAGGGGAGCAATGTGGCAGATGTTGCAAGTATATGGAATAGGTGGTAAGTTACTAAATGCTGTAAAGAGTTTTTATGAGGATAGTGAGGCTCAGGTTAGGGTGTGTAGAAGAGAGGGAGACTACTTCCCAGCAAAAGTAGGTCTTAGACAGGGATGTGAAATGTCACCATGGTTGTTTAATATATTTATAGATGGGGTTGTAAAAGAAGTAAATGCTAGGGTGTTCGGGAGAGGGGTGGGATTAAATTATGGGGGATTAAATACAAAATGGGAAGTGACACAGTTGCTTTTTGCTGATGATACTGTGCTTATGGGAGATTCTAAAGAGAAATTGCAAAGGTTAGTGGACGAATTTGTGAATGTGTGTAAAGGTAGAAAGTTGAAAGTGAACATAGAAAAGAGTAAGGTGATGAGAGTATCAAATGATTTAGATAAAGAAAAATTGGATATCAAATTGGGGAGGAGGAGTATGGAAGAAGTGAATGTTTTCAGATATTTGGGAGTTGACGTGTCAGCGGATGGATTTATGAAGGATGAGGTTAATCATAGAACTGATGAAGGAAAAAAGGTGAGTGGTGCATTGAGGTATATGTGGAGGCAAAAAATGTTATCTATGGAGGCAAAGAAGGGAATGCATGAAAGTATAGTAGTACCAACACTCTTATGTGGGTGTGAAACTTGGGTTGTAAATGCTGCAGCGAGGAGGCGATTGGAGGCAGTGGAGATGTCCTGTCTAAGAGCAATGTGTGGCGTAAATATTATGCAGAAAATTCGGAGTGTGGAAATTAGGAGAAGGTGTGGGGTTAATAAAAATATTAGTCAGAGGGCTGAAGAGGGTTTGTTAAGGTGGTTTGGTCATTTAGAGAGAATGGATCAAAGTAGATTGACATGGAGAGCGTATAAATCTGTAGGGGAAGGAAGGCGGGGTATGGGTTGCATAAGTGTCTCAATTCTTCAACTTGTCGGTTTTCAAAACCATTCATCGCATCTGTCAGACACTACAACATCATGGAATCTTGGTACAAAGACTTCAACGCTTGCCCAACCTTTGGACGACGACCTACTTACACTAGTGGCAGGTCCCACTGTGATCCCACCTCCTCCTGCTTCAACTCATCTCACCGCAGTATATAAGCCACCTCTCTGGCCCTATGCTGCACTTCCTACAAGAGTGATGGACTGAACACATCGATTCCAGGTTGAGGGACTGATTACCTCGAACTTCTACTCTACTTACCCATTTCTTCTTTGTATTGGACTGATGAAGCCACTGTGTGGCGAAACGTTTCTTCAATAAAGATTCCCATGTGTTGCATAAGTGTCTCAATTCTTCAACTTGTCGGTTTTCAAAACCGTTCATCACATTTCTACTTTGTATTGGACTGATGAAGCCACTGTGTGGCGAAACGTTTCTTCAATAAAGATTCCCATGTGTTGCATAAGTGTCTCAATTCTTCAACTTGTCGGTTTTCAAAACCATTCATCGCAGGGGTCGTCCTCGAAAAGGTTGGAGGGAGGGGGTAAAGGAGATGTGGTGGGCGAGGGGTTTGGGCTTCCAGCAAGCGTGCGTGAGCGTGTTAGATAGGAGTGAATGGAGACAAATGGTATTTGGGACCTGACGATCTGATGGAGTGTGAGCAGGGTAATATTTAGTGAAGGGATTCAGGGAAACCGGTTATTTTACATAACCGGACTTGAGTCCTGGAAATTGGAAGTACAATGCATACACTCTAAAGGAGGGGTTTGGGATATTGGCAGTTTGGAACGATATATTGTATATTTTTATACGTATATACTTCTAAACTGTTGTATTCTGGGCCCCTCTGCGAAAACAGTGATTATGTGTGATTGAAGAGAAAGTGTTGAATGATGTTGAAAGTATTTTCTCTTTGGGGATTTTATTTCTCTTTGGGTTACCCTGCCTCGGTGGGAGACGGGCGACTTGTTGAAATATATATATATATATATATATATATATATATATATATATATATATATATATATATATATATATATATATATATATATATATATATACACACAAATAACCCGCACATAAAAGAGAGAAGCTTACGACGACGTTTCGGTCCGACTTGGACCATTGACAAAGTCGGACCGAAACGTCGTCGTAAGCTTCTCTCTTTTATGTGCGGGTTATTTGTGTATCGTTCCAGTCACGGTATTGTGCCTTTTTGTTATATATATATATATATATATATATATATATATATTTTATATATATATATATATATATTGTATGTATATTGTAATACTAGCCTTGCTGCTGGCAAGACACAGTCACTCCACACGTCAAGAAGTATCCCTTCGATTCCCGTTGTGGAGGGGAACCTTTAACCCTTGTACCTGCATCTGTCTTACTTCTTCATGATGCATTCAAATCGTGTAATGATCAAACCTAACAATAGAGTAATCAACGACTCCACTAAGCTTGCCCTTGCTACCGCTGTAAAGTCCTGCTTGCAGGTTAAATTTACAGCCATCCACTCAATGAAAGACTCCTTCATTGTCGTCTGTACCGACGATCATAAAGTTTCCAAACTCTCAGTGACCGACAATTCACTACCTCTCCCTCACCTTTCTTGCTGGCGAAACGTTCCGTTTTTGTCAAACGACTGGAGAAACTCATTACTTCTCTATCGACTGCAGACATCAAGACATCCATCGAAGAACAAAACACTTGGGCATCCATCGATAACATCATCAGAATACCTAACGCTCCTTCAATGATCAAGCTTACCTTCTCTAACATCGACATGGCTGCTAGAGCACTGTCTGATGGCCTAGCTATCTCCTACTATCACATTCATGCGAGCCACATTGAACCTGAACGTTTCGCCCACACCTCGCCATGTTGGACCTGCTACTCCTACCACCACTCAACGCCTGACTGTTCCCTGAAAGGGAAGAAATTCTGCACTAACTGCTGTAAAGATGGCCATGTTTTCGGGGACTGTTCTTCCACCGCTACCACTTCTACCTGCTTAAGCTGCAAAGGTACTCATCACACCCTTGCAGCAAAATGCCCTCTACGAAAAGAAGCCCTGTCCAAGAAAATCATTGAAGAAATAAAAAAGAACTGCCCTAAGTCGCCGACGTACGTTGCCATCTGCAAACTCCAGTCAGATACCACCAAAATCCTTCAAGCTACTCGACATTCATCTTCTAGCAACTCCCTCTCTGCTCTTCCTGACGCTGCTCCGTCCAAGGTGCTGTACTGTGATGTATGCCCACCTTGCCAATGCTGCTAACCCTGGCTCTTTCAACACAACAATCAATGAACTGTTTCGTCTTAACATGCCAAACTTCAACTTCCCAGACTCACCACCATCACAAGACCTCCTGAAGCTAATACCTGACATTGTGAACTTCACTTCAACTTCAGGTCCCACTCACACCTCTGACCAAGATTCTACTCCAGAACCAACACCATCGTCTACTGCCACCTCTCACCACCCACCTCCACCAGCCCAATAAATCACAACCGGCCCACGCTCCCTGCCTCCTCTCAACACAATCACAGAAGACGACATGGAACCAGAACATTATGAACAATCCTCTGACGACGTAGTAGTAGTAGTCGAAGAAGTAACCGAAGAAGAAACCAAAGACAACCGTTACCTAAGCCAAACCTTTAGTGGATCTCTAACCTTATATATCACCCCGAACCTCCTAACCGATATGAGTGCAGCTGATTTGCTCCACTTATTGAAGGAGGGAGCCGTCAAGTACACCTGCAAACATCCTCGTCAAATCCCTTTTGAAAACGTGCTATCCTTCCTCGTGACGAACCTGAACTGCTCCAACCTCAGAATGCAACTATCCCGCATGACCAAGAGAGACTTCAAACGACTCAAGTGCGGCTCTATCATCAACGGAGTGTAGCCAAACACACGACACACCAACTACAAACACACGACCTGAGCCTCCCGACTTCAGACGCCCAGCCAAACGAGCTCTTCACCTTAGTCTGAGGCAAGCCAGCCAGTGTGCACTGCCTGCAGTCTGCTCCCTCCTCTGTCCCCTCCACATGCTCTCTCTACACTGCCTCACAATGCTACGCAGCTGGGTTTAGCCCTGGGTTTTCACCTCAAGACCTTCCTCTCACCGACTATTCTTCGTCTGTCCACACTTCTCCACTTACCCACTTGTGGGTCTTACCTGAGAGTGTTTTCGATTCGATTCGTTTATATATATTAGACCTTCATTTAACAGGAGTTTATTTGGCACGTTTTGGTTACAGCACGACTGAAGAATTCCGGCACAATATTATACAACACTTCGTAAAGTTTACTTTACAAGGCTCAGTCTGCAGCAGGGGAACAAAAATTGAGCGCACGGTCGCCACCCTCCACCACCCCCTGCCACCCCCTGCTGCCCTCACCACCCCCTGCTACCCTCAACCCCCTGCCACCCTCGTCATCCCCTGCCACCCTCCCAGTCCCGTTCATGTGTGTCGGACGAACCTCTGCTAGAAGCTCGCTTTGTTTCAATACGTATTTTAATTACCATATTTTAAATCTGCCAAGCAATCATGGCACCCAGTAGACAAACAAGTGTTGTTGAAAGTGGCAGGAAAGATTTAAGCATTTAAGTCTAGGAGTTACCAAGAAAATCGAGAGACAAGCTTGAGAGTGGCTCACGTGTGGTGGATATAGCGAGCGACTTTGGCCTTAGTGAAGACTCAATTCGTACAATTATAAAGAACGAGGCGAATTTACGAGCTTGTGTAATGAATAACTCAGTATTTTATCTCGTGAAAAGATTGAAAAGTAGATCACAACCAGTAAATAAAACTGAAAACTTCTTGCTTCTTCAGTGGATCGAACAAAAGACACAGAAAGGTGCACCACTTAATTTCATCCCTTACAGTTGTTTAAAGTTGTTCCACAACTTTAAGTTGCATAATAAGTTACATAACATTAAGTTTTCTGGTGAAAGTGCTTCAGCTGATCATACAGCAGCAAGTAATTTCCCTGCTGAATTGCAGGAAATTATTTCTGAGGGTGACTATGAGCCACATCAAGTGTTTAATGCTGACGAGACAAGTGTTTTTAGAATGAAAATGTATCGAGAGATTTCAAGTGTAAGTCCATGGTTATTTACCGCTTTAAGAACCCTCGTGCTTTGAAAAGTGTAGATAAAAACACCTTACCAGTAATTTGGAGGTCAAACCAGTCAGCATGGATGACAGAGGAAATGTTCATTGACTGGTTTAAGCATCACTTTATTCCTCAAGTCAAGTTTTACCTACACAGCAAGAACCTTGCATTCAAGACTCTCTTCATTCTTGATAATTCCCGTAATCATCCACAAGCTTTGCTGGATGTGACCCCACATGCAAAAGTTGTATTTGTACCTCCAAATACATCTCTAATACTACCACTGGATCGGGGAGTTATTAAGTCATTCAAGTGTAACTACACAAAAAAAGTTATGAAAAAACTAGTTGCATCAATGGACTCGGACTCCAACTTGGCAATACAAAGTTTCTGGAATAAATTTAACATTGCAGATGCCATCAGCGATATTAGAAGTGCATGGAATGAAGTGCCCCAATCAATATTAAATGCAGGCTGGGAAAAGTTATCGCCTCCTGTGGTTAATTCTTTGACTATTTTTCCCTTGTTGAGAGTCAGGTTCAGGAAATTGTTCAGCTGGCAAGGCCAGTACCAGGTGATGGTTTTGAAGATATGAATGAAGATGTGAATGAGCTCTTAGAAGATGATGACGAAGACAGGAGTCCAGAGGAAATGTTGGCAGAGCTTGATGCACAGATACAAGGGGACCAGATAACATAAGATGAAGAAGAACCTCAAGAAAAACAGTTAACATTACAGCAGTTAAGTGAGCAGTTCCATAATATTGGTAAAGCTACAGACTTTTTCACTGAAGAGGACCCTGACAAATCTAGAAACAGTGCTTTGAAACGGTCTAGACCAGCTCATGATGCCTTACCGTCAGCTGTATAATGTACTGTAGGGTAAAAGAGCCCAGAGATCCATTACAGAATTTATGCACACTCCAATACAACCATCGACTTTAGTACCAGAACCTCTACCATTTAATTCTGTCAGCAACCAACAACCATCCACCTCAGCCCAGTAGGGCTGAGGTGGATGGTTGTTTGCAATCATCTTTGCAATCATCCACAAACACCAGCACCCACATTTTAAGGTACGAAATGCTATAATTTCTATTGCATTTGTAGTCCTAAGCGGTAATGTATCACGACAATGCACTACAATTACATATGTACTTCATTTTTTGTAAGATCTGTTGGTCTAAAAAAGTTATTTGGGCTTTGGGGGGCTCCTAGGAACGTAACCGTATTTTTCCCATAAGTTCTTCAGTTCTTTTAACACTTTTTTTTTTACCTAACATGGCGTTTTCAGGAACGTAACTACCGTGTTAAATGACGGTCTACTATATATATAAGAAACTGGCCGTTTCCCAATAAGATATGGTGACCCGAAAAAGAGAAAACACTTTCGTAGTCATTCACTCCATCACCATCTTGCCAGAGGGGCCCCGATACTACAGTACGAAACAGCAGATATCTCCACCCCTCCTTAGGTGTGCAGGCACTATTCTTCCAACCTCTTGAACTCTGTCTGGTTAACCAGTTTCTCTGAATCCTTTCAGAAATGTTACTTTGCCATACTTCAGCAGCATGTCAACATGAGCATGTCAGGTCGTATAAAAAACCACTTGCCTCCACTCTTTCCTCTCTAACATGCTCACACACACGTTTGCTGAATGTCTAAGCCCCTCGCACACAAAACCTCGTTTACTGCTTTTTCCTAGGACGACCCTTAACCCCCTTCCCTCCACTGCAAATTTATATGCCATTCAGATCATTCTATTTTGTTCCATCCTATCTAAATGTCCAAACCACTTCAAGAACCCCGCTTCAGCCCTCTGAATAATATTTGTAATAATCCTGAACCTCCTAATCTGCACGCTACGGATTCTGTGTATAATATTCACACCCCAAATTGTTCTAAGACACGACATCTCTACTGCGTCGAGCCTCCTCCTCGCTGCAAGATTCACAAACCACGATTCACACCCGTATAACAGTGTTGATACCTCTACACTCTCCTACATTACCGTTTTTGCTTCGGTGGATAACGTTCTTTGTCTCCAGAGGAATGTCACTGCACCGCTCACCTTTTTCCTTTCGTCTTTCATAAATTCATCTGCTGACAAGCCCACTCCAAGAAATCTAAATATAATTACTTCCTCTATACTCCCTCCCTCCAGTATGTTATCCATTCTTTCATTTCTTAAGTCTTTTTGTTACCCTCGTCACCTTGCTCTTTCCTACGTTCACTTTTAATTTCCATTTTTTGCCGCTTCTCATCAGAATCTCTCAAATACACAATGTCATCAGCAAAAAGCACCTATGTATGCACATTAATGCGTACACTAAACATTACATACATTCATTCACACAACGATGCATACACTCATTCATATGCACACATACGCAAAAGTGTGCATTCATGCATACATACATATACAAAAATACATATCCACAGGTAAAAGCATATACTGTATCTGTACTTGCATATATTAACACAAACATATTTGCATACATACTTCAATATTTTTGCTACATTACAATTTCATGACTGTTGCGCAGTGTTTCTCACGCCAGAGTTGAGGTGATGAGGCTGAGCTTGTGGATTTCCGGGATACATTTCTCGAATCGCTCAATGTCAGAAATACATCTATATTTTAATTAATATAAGTGAGGTATTGCTTTCGGTGAGGGTTTGTACCTTCATCGGTAGTTAAACTTTCTTCGAACTGTTTAATATGAGTGAATAGTCTCACAGGCCATCTTTACCAGGTAATGATTTCATACTCACCCACTTAATCTACTTCCACATCTACATCAGGTCTCATACCTCATGTCATAAATGTTTTTACTCAGTCGTCTGCCTCATATGTCTTGGGCACCTATAATGTTATTAGAAGGCGAGGTGTACCTGAGTCCACCATCCTGCCTAACTCTAACTTCATAAGGTGATAGGTAGTCCTGTCAGGTAAGTTCCTGATGTCTATCATTCGACTGCTGAGCCTCCAGGAAAATTTTCTTCCTGTTTTACTGTCCTCGTTAATCCGCTCAACTCGTTCGTCTTTCTCAAACTTTCTTTCATTTTTTCTGTTTCAGTAAAATATAATACCACTCAATGATTTCTTGAAGATTCCCAGTCGCTCATAATATTTCTCTACATTTTGTAGTTAATAAACAAAAACATTTTCTCAAAACTACAGCATCCCACTGACATTTACTCTGATGTCTCGTACAAAGGAGTGATCACACATTGTTTTCAGCCATATTCGTTTAACTGCATTAAAGGAATAGACCGCTAACCTGCAGTGAGACTTATTACAACAGATTCCAAAGATGTCTGATCAACTTCTAACTCACTAATCAGGCTGTTATTTCTTTTAATCATTATTACGACTTTGATGTCGTAACTTAAATAAAATGGCTCCTAAATGGCTGCTCAATCTGCTGTCTAGGGGCAATTAAATTACACTGAAAAAAACACAGCAACTCTGGAGCCAGAATATATAATCGTACAAATTAAGAAGCATGAGTTCAAATAATTAATATAATATAAGGAAGGACACAAAAACTGGCCTATATAAAAACATATCTATATTATTAAGTAACTTATAAACTACTGCAATAAACTACCACACCCCAGTTTACATTAGCTTACTGATGTTAGCGAGTAGACGTAATATATAAACAGGGAGGATTCAAGACCCCCTCCCCCCCTTCTTCCTGGTAGACTAGTCACCAGAAGTCTAAAACACCATACAGTACTCTTGCATAAACAGGCCTCTGCATACTAGGGCCTTGGGGAAACCTGAGAGCACATAAACACAAAATTACCCAAAGTATACACAAAATAACTAACCAAACCACCTACTCACACTAACGCCAACCCATGATGATTTCAACCCGCCGCCTCTCTACACGTACTGCACTAACCACATCATCTGGTCCTGTCTTGGCCGCACTAACTTACCTGGAATAACACACGTTCGGATTCAGTACAAACCCAGAAAATGACATTATATATGGAGTGTTATTTTGTATATAAATTGTTACTGCAGCACACTGCGAAAGAAGCATTTGCCAAGAAAAATAATTTCACATGGGCGGTCGTCATATTTTAGGTAATATTGAGTTGCTGTTTGCCCTATGACTACATGTGCAGAGATAAATATATTCGAGAAAAACCATTGCAATTATACTACGACGTCAAGTAACGTATATGGGAATCTGTGATTTTGATCCTTAAATATTAAAAAGTATATAACTCGAGTGCGTGAAACTTGTACAAGAATAAAAAGTTAACTGAGTAATTTACGTGAACATTAAGTAGAGAAAATCATCATATTGCAGTCTTTCTCCCCCTAACCTGCGTTACTTTTATAGTCATCTTTGTCCATTTCCAAACTTCATAACTTTCCCAATAAGGATCATGGCCGAGTGACTGTTATCTTAGATACAAAGTGGCCCGAGAGTCTAGAGTGTAATAAAATATAGAGAATTCTTTATATATTTCCCTTCTCCCCTTTATTAGATAACCAATTGACCCTAGTCATGTTGGCTGATAATGCTATGTGGTTTCAAACATTGCTTTACATTATTCTTGCATTCCTGTCTCGATCTCTTACTATTTGGTGGTGGGTTATAAACAACTGCTGTTGCTACTTTGAGTCCTCTGTCTTGATTGTGCATACAATTAATTGAACTTCAATTCATCACTGTCATCTCTTCAAAACGCCACTAATATCCGATTAAAAATGCCTCATCTCATTTCTCCATTTATATCTATTTTTTTCCCATTACTTCATACCCTGCAGGAAATATTGCAGATAAATTAGTCTCTGTGAATGCTATGCACTCAGGGGCTATCTCTGCTTATCTTTCTATTTTTTTGCTCATACTGGATATCCCATCATTACTGGTGTACATACTCTAATCATTATTTTTTTGTAGTTTTGTTCTCCTTTCTGGGCTGGGATTTTGGGTAGTTTCAAATTTAGGTTGGATAAGTACATGAGTGGGAGGGGTTGGATTTGAGTGGGACTTGCACATCGGAGCTTGTTTCTTGGGTGGCATTGAAAATTGGGTTGGTCAAATGTTTGTTAGTGGGATGAATTGTAAAGGACCTGCCTAGTATGGGCAAACAGGCCTGCTGCAGTGTTCCTCCTTTCATATGTTCTTATAAGCTTTCTTCTTGTCTATATATCAGGAGTACGGGTGGGGTCGAGTCTGGAGCTGAGATTAGAGTGTGTATAATTAAACGGGGAGGGGTTAAGGATACAGTTGTTGAGAAGGGAGTGGGAATGGTGGAGAGGGGGTCGTGTTGAGTTCTTGTTCTGTTCATGGAAGATGAGGTGAGTTTTGAAATGGTCTTGTAGTGTCTTGAGAGGTTTTTGGTGGATGGCGTTTCTACCTCTTGGCGCTCTTCCTACCAGCCATCTTTTCCATCCTACGTCTATTCCCTGTCATCAACGATTTGCCACATGCCCTCTCTGCTGTTCTTTCTCCATTTCTGCTCTCTCCAGATTCAGGTATACACGGTGATGTCAGCCTGGAACCGTCAAGAATGCTTCCTTTCTCTAGATTGAGATTCGAGATTTTCCTGACCAGACGATTAGTTGCGTGTGTGTTGTCATTTTGTGTTACTTGATTCTCTGAACGAATTCTATCTGTTTTAATTCTTCCACTCCTCCTGTACACTCAGTAATCACTACAATCACATACCTTCTTCCTGACTTGCTACCAGCGTCATGAAGTCCAGAGATCATCAGTGTCGTCTGTCTTTCTGACTCCAATTGTCTATCCTTCCAGATTTCTTGGTTTTCACCGCTGTCTTTGCTCTCTCTCTCTTATCACATCCTGTTCCCCTCGATCTCCTGTGAGCATCTCTTTCTTGTCCAATCCTATTTTATCTGCTCTTTGTGATTTTCCTCTTATTATTACTGAATCTTCCACTCATTACCTCATTTTCTCAAGAGCCTCCTTCAGCTTTTGTTTTCTTTATCAATCCTTAGACTGATTCCCCTGCACCAATTGTCTTCTCCCATTCCTAACACTCCTCTCATGCAATGTTTCATATTTCCATGGTCTCCTCCAGGAATGTACAGCAGGTCCTCAAATCAAGTCGTTTCATTAATCGTCGTTTCGTTAAACGTTGCTGAGAAAAATAAAATGAATTCAATGAATACAGATTGTAAAATAAAAATTCGTAAAATATACGATAATCATACAAATACTTGACAATAGACGATGCTGTACAAAAACACTCGGCAAACATGCCATATTGGTTTTGAACTGTGTGGTGGAGTTTCGATTTTGGACAGTGAATTGTGGTTTCGCTATACGTTGTTTCGCTTAAAATCGCATTTTCCAGGAACCTAAGACGACCTTAAGTGAGGACATACTATATTTAACTTTACTTCCCATTCCTTGCCAATTTTCCTTTTGAAAGAGGCGGTTATCAAAGTAAATCTTTGCTGATCACTTTCTTCTTTCCCAATCTACTCTCCTTTATTGACAATTCTTCTTTTCTGTCCCATTTTAACTTCTTGGTTTTTTTTGACAGGCAAAACTATAATAAGTTCTTCCTGTGATTTCTGAGTGGA